TGAATTTTTTATACATACATATATTACTCTGCACTAAATAAATGAAGAAAACAATAACTGAATGAGTCTCAGACATAAGTTTTTTTTACTTGCCTAGTTTCATCTTTCGGAAAATGATGATCGACAGCCGTACACAGCACAATTCACGACCATTATAAATAGTAACGTAAAATGATGTTTTCTATTACCGTACAAGTTTCGTAATGAATAAATGAAAACTATATTCAAAGCCGTCTTTGCGCGAAAATTGCGCGGGAGGGGGGATTTTAGAGGGGTCAGTACTTGTGAAAATGACATGACAGTTATTGTCAATGTCATAACAACGCATTTGCATTTTGGCAAGAGTAGTAGTAGTAGTAAAATTTTTCGTCCTCCGAGACAGGCTAAGGCGTCTAGCCATACTGCCAAATCCTCAGTATGAAATTTAAATTTGGCAGCTAATTTTTTTCTTTGAATCTGCCAATTACGCAGATTTCGCTTAACAATTTAACGTTGGCGTTTTTGACCAATATTATATGCCTGCACTCTTCGAATCTGTTGATCAACATTAACTGACCGCATTCCTCGAAACTGACACTGGCCCAAGTCTAGTGGCTGCCATTAAGGAAATAATAACAATAAAACTAAATAAGATATAATCCTCCTCTTCTCCGTACCCTATCCTATCGACATACATTGATCAAAACAAATTTTTTTTTTATTGTATCTATGGACTGGACGAACAAGTCGTGCGCCTGATGTAGCTTATGCACGCCTGTCCATAACAGTTGCAGAGTCACTCAGAGCTTTAAATCGCAAAGATCTGAGGGGCACTGCCACTGCACCCGTCACCCTGAGACATAAATTGACAAGTCCCATGTCCCTGTAACTTCACATTACTGCTTGGCGGCAGAAATAGGTAAGGTTGCAGTACTTCCCTGGACGAATTCTTTCACAAGGTGCTCTACTGCTACTAAACATGCACTTTAGTATTTATTATACCTATATCCTCCAGCATGCTTTTGTGATTTTCATATAAAGTAGTTAGTCACATTATCTCGTTTTTTGTCTTTGTCCATGGGAACAATTTGTCACACTGCCTCAGTGGCCGAACGGTTACCATGCCGAACTGCCACGCAGAGGTCCCAGGTTCGATTCCCGGGCCGGGAGAAATATTTGTATGGCCTACAATTATTTCTCTCGTGAGTTTGGGTGTAATTTGTGATTGTCTATGTGTGTGTCCATGGCACCCGTGACACAGGGTTTCCCTAGTGCGGGGCTATGTTGTTGAATGTGTACATACCGTGCATCTTTCAACACGGACGTTGGCAGAATTGTCCTCAATGAGACAAGCCCAAAACCTACAAAATTTTATTTGAAAAACCGCTTGTAGATGTTGTATCGACGATTCCAGATACCTTAATAACCCAATTTTGCGAAATATGTCGATTACCTACGTTAGTTTATTAGACAACATTACACACGTAGCTCTGATCCCAAAGAAAGTATTGTGTTATGGAAATCTGTAACAACGACGATACCATAAACACTCAGACGAAACAATATATGGCGACACCATGAAAACAGTGTGAAAGCCATTCGATCACGCAAGTCAGTTATGACAACGAGGGCAGAATAGTGAATCAATACGTAAAATTATCTCAAGTGGCAAGTGCACATTGTCCAGTTTGTTTACCTACAAATTACGTCACACGTTTTGAGATGACAACTAGTGGCAACTAGTTAATTATATTTGAATGTACTTTTAGGTTCTTGAAAAGCTTTATTTAAATATAAAATAGCACTTTTCTTGTCGGTGTATATCCATTATGGGTAATTTTTTAATATTTTCTGAAAGATTGTTCGTTTCCCTATTGCAATTACGAATTTTCAATTTTGCGTTTTTAAACACAAATTATTCAAGTCAACCAATTTATACGACCCACTACTTAACTACTTCAACATTGCAATTTCACGCCTTGAATAAGATGGGATGTAAAAAGACCGTCAAACGCTGGCTTAAAAATAAAAACTATGATGAAACAGAAGGTTTACTAGAAGTTATTTCATAATTATATTGTAAAAGCTAATTGTTTTATTCTTAATTAAATATAGCTATTTTGTTTTTAAGCACTAATATAATGAATCTGTGCACAAACAAGATGCTTAAGATACAGGTAATAATGTACTTAGTTTAGGCATCGCAACTATACTGGTAGGCTTCTAATAATTAATTGTATAGCTTTATGATTAGTATAATAATTAAGGTTTATTTTTATTTTTTTACCAATTGTATATTAGCTTCCCTTACATTTGTTTTTGGTTTTTTTACTTATATTTAGATTAAGTTATGTTGAAACAAATTTATCTTTATCTTTATTTATCTTTACTGGGCACGGGTCCTCCTCTCAAGCGAGGGTTTAGCGGGTTAGAGACTTTTACACGTTTTTCGAAGGTTGTAAACCTGGAAAAAGGTTCCCCTGTACAAGTTCTAAATTGGTTGATTAAGTTGAATACTTATTTAGTAGCAGTAGAGCTCCTTGTGAAAGAGTTTGTCCGGGTGAGTAATGCCACCTTACCCATTTCTGCCGCTAAGCAGTAATGAGAGCATTACTTCGCTCCGCTTTTGAAGGGTAAGGGTGCTGGTGAAATTACAGGCACATGGGACTTGTCAACTTATGTCTCAGGATGTTGGGCGCAGTGGCATTGTCCTTCAGTTTATCTTTAGAATAATATTTATAAGGAAAGTTGAACAGTCGATAAGAGGTCACGATGAATAAGCACACGCGTAATCACTCTTTTTTAAACGTTTTGTTTTATTACGTATCGAGTAGTCATAGCGGAATTATGCATACAACCAAACAAGTGATCGGTTCGACCAAAACTTGCTTATCGCGCTTTCCGTTTATTACTACGAAACGTAAAAGGTGCCAAGAAAATGCTAATTTAAGAGACTAGAAAATACCCATCGAGTATTTTTTTATTTTAGACTTCTGATTTTTTTGCAAATTTGGCAAATCTGTTTTAAACTTTAACATAAAGAAAGTATGCCCAAACAAGATGCCTAAAATACAGGTAGTCATTTACTTAGTTCAGGCATAGCAACTACGCTATACGATTTCTAAGATTTAATTGTATAGTTTTATGAAGTTTGTATAATATAATTAAGATTCCCTTTTTACTGTTTATGTATCATAGTTTCCGTTACATTTTAACTACCTCAGTGCCTATTAACTTTCTCCGTGGCCGAACGGTTCCCATCCTGGACTGCCACGCAGAGGTCCCGAGTTCCATTCCCGGGCCGGGAGAAATATTTGCGCGGCATAAATTTTTTTCTATCATGAGTTTGAGTGTAATTTGTGGTTGTATACGTGCGGGGCTATGAGTGTGTGCGCGTGACATTATGTTTATTTAGTTATTTTTCTTGTATTACATTAAATTATAACGAAATAAATTTATCTTTTTTATTACGATAGGTACTAAATGACGGGATGATGGAAAGCGACACGCCTGTTCATAACAGTTGCTGTGCCACTCAGAGCTTTAAACCACAAAGATCAGAGAACACTGCGAGGCGTCACCCTGATACATAGGTTGACATGTCCCATGTGCTTGTAATTTCACCAGTATCGATACCCTTCAATACCGGAACACAGTATTGCTCACATTACTGGTTGGCAGCAGAAATACGTAAGGTGGCAGTACCTCTCTGGACGAATTCTCTCAAAAGTCTAGGGTTGGAAGATTTTCGGATCTAAATCCGAAAAAATAGTTTCTTTAATTAAATTTTTATTGAATTGATATTCAATTATTTTTTGTGAAATTACTCCACTAGTTTGTTATAATTATTAATACAAAGATCGAACACTCAGAAAAAATTCCTTCGATCCGGTCGGATTCGAACCGACGTCTTCTTGCATACCGTGCCAGACGCTATACCAACTAAGCCACGGACCTCACGAATTTTTCTATGTGCTTGCGTCGCGTCTTTGTATTTGGTTTTTCAACGACTTTTTAGTCGTAGCGCCATCTATGAGAAATCTATGAATAGTTATTATATAAAGTTTCTTTTCCAACAAACCTAAAAACTCGAAATGCTCTTATCAAAAACGCCGCTTATTGTTCAATAGCTTATACACTAATATACTCATTACGTTCTATTTTGTCATTGTAATTATTAATGTATAATGTGCAATAAAAGATCAATTCATTCATACATTCTTTATTGAACGGACTGTAGCAGTCACCAAAATATGCCAATATCAAATCCTCCTCCAACATTCAGGCATTCTTAACGTGACCATACTGTCCCGTTTTTAAGATTCGTGTCCCGCTGTCACCAAAACACTTAAAAATGTCCCGCTTTCACAAAACACGACAAACGTGACAATAAATTTTGAAAAATGGCGCGAAAGCGAAAAATAATAAATAACTAGCCCAGCAGACTATACAAAATTAGTTCTTTTTTAAATTTTTGATCATTAAACGTTTTAAATTTTTTTTTAATTTTTTTAATCACTAAACTTTCGTAACTATTATGTTTATATATATATATATAAAATTAACTTTTGTAAACGGAAACTTTTGTTAAGATGCTGAACAAAACGATGGAGCCATTATAAAGATTTGTTACCCATGATTTTATTTTTTCACTGTTGTCCAATCATTGTAAATCTCGTTTCACGCTAAATAAAACTTCAAAAGATTTTTAATAATAATAATAATAACGCACACACTCATAGCCCGACATTAGGGAAACCCTATATCGCGGGTGCCATGGACACACACATAAACAACCTCAACTTATACCCAAACTCAAGAGAGAAATAAAAGTATGCTACACAAATATTTCTCCCGGCACGGGAATCGAGTCCGAGACCTCTGTGTGGCAGTCCGGCATGGTAACCGTTCGGCCACAGAGGCAGTTAAATAATATTTCTAAACAAAGAACAATAATATGACTTTTCGAAGTATATTTTTTTAATTTTTTCCAATTTTTTTCCATTTTTCCATTTTCGTACCTGATTAGTGATGTCGTAGACGACAATGGCCGCTTGCGCACCGCGATAGTACATTGGCGCCAAGCTGTGATACCTGCAACAAAACACGAGTAATTAAAATATTTATTTACTAGGTGGGAGTCCGCGACTTCGTCTGCGTTTCTACGCTCTTAAGTACTTCGAGTGGCCTACTGCAGTATACTATTTTTTTGTTTCTCCATACAAAGTTTTATTCCCTATAATCACCTCTTTTCATTGACTTACAATTACATATATGGACGTCGGGTCCGCGCTAAAAAGTGTCCGAACTTATAGGGCGTTAAAATCGTATACAGAGCGTCATTCACGCTTTAGTCTTCGTTTGTTCGACTGACAGCGAAGCAAGCAAAATTAGACAGTACTGCGATGACATTACAATTTAAATTCAACGTTTTAGCTTTTTCATATTCCTTTACATGTCACTACGTTTAAATAGGTTGACTTGGGACATTTTTTTCGTGGTTTTTGTATTAGACCCGTCGTCCATTTATTT